TGATAAGAATAATAAGAATAATGACCCTTTTTCATGGTTATTCTTCATGTGACAGATGCATAAATTTGCTTGTAAATTACCCCCTATTACTATTATTATCATTATAAAAATCATTAACATTATTGATAAGAATAATAAGAATAATTATCTATTTTCATGGTTATTCTTCATGTGACAGATGCATAAATTTGCTTGTAAATTACCCCCTATTACTATTACTATCATTATTAAAATCATTAACATTATTGATAAGAATAATAAGAATAATTATCTATTTGCATGGTTATTCTTGATGTGACAGATGCATAAATTTGCTTGTACATTACCCCCTTATTACTATTACTATCATTATTAAAATCATTAACATTGTTGATAAGAATAATAAGAATAATCATCTATTTTCCTGGTTATTCTTGATGTGACAGATGCATAAATTTGCTTGTACATTACCCCCTTATTACTATTACTATCATTATTAAAATCATTAACATTGTTGATAAGAATAATAAGAATAATCATCTATTTTCCTGGTTATTCTTGATGTGACAGATGCATAAATTTGCTGGTAAATTACCCGCTGTGGGCAAGGAATGGGCCGGGTTGACATCAAGTGGCGGTGCGGGATTCGAACGCTTGTTAGACGAGAAATTTCTAGACGAGAACATTGCTGCTGGATTTTCATGAGGATGGAAATAATGATGATGATGATAGTAGTGATGACGATAATTATGATAAAAATGATGACAATAGTAATAGAAATAATGATGATAATAACGATAATGATAATGATAGCACTGATGATGATAATAATAATAATGATAATAATAATAATAATAATAATAATAATAATAATAATAATAATAATAACAATAATAATAATGATGATAAAAATAATAATAATGATAATAATAATAGTAATAAAAATAAGGATAATGACAATAACAACAATGATAATTATAATAACAACAACAATAATAATGATGATAGAGATAAGAATAATGATAATAATAACACATAATCATACTAATAATGATACTATTCAATATAATAGAGATATTAATGATGATTTGTATAATTATTATTATCATTATTATCATTATTATTGTTATCATTATTGTTATCATTATCCCTGGTATCATCAATTTTGTGTTTATCATCATTATCTTCATTATCACTATCATTTCTGTTATCATTGTCATTAACATAATATCATTAAGGTTATCAGTATCATTATCATTACATATGGCTTCTTCAAAAAAATTTATTATTACTATAGCATCCATATAATCATGGGTACCCATAATATCATTAAGGTTATCAGTATCATTATCATTACATATGGCTTCTGTTATAAAAAAATTTATTATTACTATAGTTGTTGTTCAAACACTTTGATCAATATTGGTAACACCATCAATGGTCTCATTACCATAAATACTTTGATAATTATTACCACTTTCTTATCATCAATATCTAATTCTTAATCGTTATCATCGTTTCTCTTATTGCATTATATTATTGATAGTAACAAGAGTATTATTAATATCATGTAGTATAATTTAAATATTACCCTATATATCATAATTGTTGTAATTAAGAGAAATATCATTATCCTTTGATATCATTATTACAATCACATCCACCCCCGCCATCGATACACATAATTGACATCAGGATCACCTGCATCACAATCATCATTATTAACATAATCACAATGGGGTAATTTAAGTTTGATGACATAAATGACTTGATTGGATATTAATACTGTATAGGCAGAAAAAAAAACTTATCTTGTTTCGTAATCATTGCAATGGCTTATATCATTATGGACGACTAATGAAATCAGGAAGAAAAATAATGATAATGATAATTATAATAATCATCTTCATTATTATTACTATGATAATATCAATAGCAATGGTAGTGTTAATAATGATAATAATAAATGATGATGATGATGATGATAAAGATATTGAAACTAATAAAATAGCAATGATAATAATAAGGATAATGATAGCAGTAATGATGATCAAATGATAATGATAATAATATTAATGATGATGATAATAATGATAATAATAATGATGATGATGGTAATAATGATGATAATGCTGATACTAATGATAATAATGATAATGATAATAACAAAAATGTTAATAATGATGATGATAGAAATACTAATGATGATAGTGATAATGATAATGACGATGATAACAATGATAAGAGTAATAATAACTGTAATAATAATAATGATAATATTAATAATGATGATGATGATAATGATTATGATGATAATAAATAATATAATAACAATGAAAGGATGACAATAATAATAATGATAATAAAACAATAATAACAACAACAGTAACAATAATAATGATATTGATAATAATATTTATGGCAATAGCAAGACTACAAAACAGAGAAATATTATAATAAGCATAATAACAATACTAATAATATTAATGATAAAAGTGATATTGATGATAATGATAATGATGATGGTAAAAATGAAAATACCAATAATGAGGAAAATCATAATAATTATAGTAATAAAAATAGTGATGATAGCACTTATAATAGTAACAATGATAATGATATAAAAATTATGATGATAATGATATAAAATATTATGATGATAGATAATAGTAGTAGTAGTAGTAGTAGTAGTAGTAGTAGTAGTAGTAGTAGTAGTAGTAGTAGTAGTAGTAATAGTAATTATAATGATAACAAACATAATAATGATAATAATAATAATAATAATAATAATAATAATAATAATAATGATAATAATAATAATAATAATAATGATGATGATGATGATGATAATAATAATAATAATAATAATAATAATAATAATAATAATAATAATAATAATAATAATAATAATAATAATAATAATAATTATAATAATAAGGATAATAACAATAATAATGATAATAATAATAATAATAATAATAATAATAATAATAATAATAATAATAATAATGATAATGATAATAATAATAATAATAATAATATGATGATGATGATGATGATGATGATGATGATGATGATGATGATGATGATGATGATGATGATGATGATGATGATGATGATGATGATGATGATGATGATGATGATGATGATGATGATAATAATAATAATAATAATAGTAATAATAATAATAATAAAGATAATAATATAAGTGATAATAATAGTAATAATACTGATAATGATAGTAAAAATAATATTGACAATCATAATAAAGATGAAAGTAGAAGTAGTATTAGTTGAAGCAGTAGTAGGAGGAGCAAGAGAAGGAATGATGAAAATGAAAGTAACTATAAGAATAAGAATAATTAAAAACAGGATGACCCAATAATAACAATATTAAAAATGAAATTATAATTATTGATGAAAGTAATAGTAGGAACGACTGGCACGATAATAACAAAATTGAAAATAATGGAAATGATAATGATGACAATTATGATAATGAAGTGACAATAAAAATGATATTAATGAAGTGAAAATAAAAATGATATTAATGAAGTGAGAATAAAAATGATAATAATGATAATGATAACAGTAGAGATGATGTTAATGACAATAATAATGATGACAATAATAGTAGAGATGATGCTAATGATAATAATAATGAAATTGATGACAACATTAACGATAATCAAAATAATAACATTGATATAACAATAACAAAGATGATAAAGCAATTAATTAAACAGAAATGAATGTTTAAAATATATCTCTAATAAAACTGCAACCTTCCCATTCTCTCCTTTTGGGGATTGTCTCTAGCGAAAAAAAAATAAAAATAAAAAAAAATCGCTAGCTTTAAATCTGCGACTTTACAATGACGACAACAGGATAGAAATGCTATTGTTTTACAGTGTTGACATGAGCATGTACACTGTGAGTTAAGTCCTACCTAGCTTATGACAATACAGAAATGACAATAAAAACTTTGATGTATCATATTCTGTTTCCTATCAGTCTCTGGTAAAAATTGAGCTTTTATGTATATATATATATTTATATGTATATATCGCTACATAGCGATATGCAACGTTCTAAAATACGCAGTCAGACGGATCATACACACAATACTGATGCTTCACAAAATGACACCGAAGCCAGAGCCATGGCGTTCCGACTGGATTTGTGCAAGTATATAAATTTGTCACGCCGGCGAACAGCGCGCTTGATGTATATTAGACAGTCTCTGTATTGGATCACGGAAATTTGACCAGAAAACAAATGATATGAAATAATAAAAAAAACAAGAAAAAAGAGAGAGAGAAAAAAAAATATATGCTCATTTGTATTTTACCATCCTCGTCTGGGTATTCTATCAGTGGTGTTTATTACCTGTGCTGGAAAATATCGGCTGGTAACACATCACACAATAATTCGAAACTGGTATACATTACACAACAGAACAGAAATAGTTTTACACAATTATGCTTTCAAAGCTATGTTAATTTTTTTTGCTCTCTCTCTCTCTCTCTCTCTCTCTCTCTCTCTCTCTCTCTCTCTCTCTCTCTCTCTCTCTCTCTCTCTCTCTCTCTCTCTCTCTCTCTTTCTCTTTCTTCTTTTTTTTTTCCGTAAGGAGATAAACATCCGTCAAGCACAGTTTACACACACATCCATCGACAACACTGAATATTAGGATTTTATCCATTTCGTGGAACATATCGAAAAACCTATAATTCTAAAAGAAACACCCATAGCAACAACAGCCACATGTGTCTTAGTTTTTTTTTTTAATTCTTATTTATTTTTTTATTAATATTCTATCATCAATCTCCCCACCAACTGTGACTAAACACCCTCAAGAACACGACTTAGAGAAACAGATCTCTAGAACCTAACAGCATTCCTCAACTGCCTATCTACCTTCTTTCTCTCTTTTCCTTTTCCTCCCTCGCCACCTCCCTCTCGTCCTTTCTTCAATCATTATTATCAAACTATCACTCACAGAATATAAAACTACGAAACATTTAGATCCAAGAGCAGCGGCGCCTCCACAGAGCGCAGAAGACAGAAGCGATGACGACGAGGCGACTGAGGCTGGCGGAGGACGCGGCTGTTGCGTCATTGGTCGACTGGAGAACGGCCATGGCTGTGGGGACAGATAGAGGGCTGGTTAGCGTCGGGGGATGAGTGGACGCGAGAGGAGGATAAACAAAGGGCATGCGATAGAGAGAGAGAGAGAGACAGACAGAGAGAGAGAGAGAGAGAGAGAGAGAGAGAGAGAGAGAGAGAGAGAGAGAGAGAGAGGGAGGAGAGAGGAGAGAGAGAGAGAGAGAGAGAGAGAGAGAGAGAGAGAGAGAAGAGAGAGAGAGAGAGAGAGAGAGAGAGAGAGAGAGAGAGAGAGAGAGAGAGAGAGAGAGAGAGAGAGAGAGAGAGAGAGAGAGAGAGAGAGAGAGAAGGATAGAGAGGAAATTGTGTTTATGGAAAGCGAGGTGGGAGAGAGTGGAGAAAGAGAAAGAGGAGACAGATAGATAGACGGGGAGAGAGGGGGTGGGGAGACAGACAAACTGAGAAAAACAGAGAAAAGGAAACACACAGACACACAAACGAACACGCAAACACACACAATCACACACACGACCCCCCTCCCTCCAACCCAACAACCAAAGCAAACAAAACCCCATTCCCACAAACACACACACACACACACATGCCCCTCCCCCTCCTCCTCCCCAACCCCCACTCGAACCCCACTCACCTTCATTTCCCTTCTTGGTGGAAAACACGAACTGCTCGGACAGGGGGGACCATCCGTACTTGTTCTTGACCTTCGCCATGACCGTGTAGTCCGTGGCCACCTCGAGCTCAGCCAGCGTGAAGTCCATCGTGTAGTGCGGGTGGTTCTTCTCCTGGGCCAGAGAAGGATCCACGGTTCGAGTGACGACCTTCCACGTGGCGGGGGTCGTGACGATGGTCGTGTTCTGAGGGTGGGGTGGGGTATTAGGGGGTGGATGGGCCGGTTGGATAACATGGTAGCAGGACCTCATGCTGGTTGCTCTTTATTGTCTTTGTTGTTGTTATGATTCTGATTGTTATTATTATTACCATCGTTGTTACTATTGTTATTATCATGTTGTTATCATTATTATCATTACTATTTATATTTTTATCATTAATTATCTCATATATTATATCTCATTACTATTATTATTTTTGTTAATATATTATTATCCTCTTATAATTATTATCAACATTATTATAGATGTTTATTATACAACACTATTAATTACTACCATTATTATTATCACTATTACTCTTATTCCGCATCATTAATCTTTTATATTCATTAATTTTTCATTATTATTTAACTAATTACTTATTATTATTAATTACATATCTATTTGATAATCATACTTCATCAGTAATTTAGATATAAATCGAATATATCATAATTTATTGACCCATAATCAGATTTTATCAACATTTCATATCAATTATCCTCACCATCTGAACATTATTTATTTTTAGCATCAATTATAATATATCAATCAATACGCTGTTACAAAAATCAACACATAAACTCATTATCAACTCTTCCCTTACATTACAATTGTACAATCAATTTTTACTTTTTACAAATAATCAATACAATTAACAAATACTCTCTAATGAGAAAAAACGAGTTTGAGTTCTTACTTTCAGAATCGTCCTATTTACATTATACTAATTACGTATTCCGAACTTGTTTAAAAATAAGTTAAATGTTGATATCGTTTTACAAGTTCCCTCTCTTAAAATATTTATTTCAGTAGAATATGTTAATGAAATGCTTCCGGGATATGCAGCATGTTTCTGCACTTGATGAGACTGTGAAGGAGAGGAGACATGGCTGAGCCTTAGGCATGTTGAGGAAAATCGTTAAAAAAATCATAGACAGAATCGAAATATCGTCAGATCTCAGTGAGGATCTACAAACTATAACATATGAACGCATGAAGATAATACTCCGGTCATACTCCTCTTCTCTTTCTCCTTCTCTCCTCTCTCTTCTTCTCTCTCTCTCTCTCTCTCTTCTCTCCTTTTTATTTCTCTCGTTTCCATCGTAACTGCGACTCTCCATACATAGACAATCAACAAAAAGAATATTCCACAACTACTAACTCTCTAACGTCTCATACTCTCCCCACTAACTCCCTCTCATACTCCTTCTCTTCAGTAAATAACCTACCAACCATTCGCTCTGCCAATTCTTCTCTCATTACAGCTATCCTACTCATACTCTCTTCTCCATCCGTACACAATCCTCACTTCTCTCTCTCTCGTCTTCTCTCCTCTCTCTCTCTTCTCTCTCTCTTCATTACTTCTACGTTCTTCCCCTTCATAAGACAAATACGTCCCTCCTCCTGCATACCCCGATACGACACATCATAAAAGAACATAACCATGAAGGAAGCTACATCCCTTACCTAACAATCATCAGTAATGGCACCATCTCATTACTCCTCGTCTCAAATTCCATACTCCTCTCTTACATCTAATAAACTCAGTCTCTTCGACTAACTTCTCTATTCTTCCTCTCCTCTCTCTCTCATCGTCTCCTCTCTATACAATAACCTATATAGCTATACTCGAGTACAATCTATGCAGTATAATACCAATTAAGTATACCCACAAACTAAAACAAATAACTAACAATAAAACTCAAATCCACCAATATACAAAACAATAACATATTAATAAACACAAACTATATCATATATATAACTAAAATAAAAATACAAATAAAACAAACTATTTAAACAACTCGCATAATAACCGCTAACTAACGATTAATATATCATACATATTACATTATACCATATATACATACATATATATAATATATATATATATATATATATATATATGTATATATATATAATATATATTAATATAATATATATATATAACCACTATATATATATGTATATATATATAAACACTTCTATTATATAATTGTAATTAATATTGTATATACCTATATATATATATATATAGATTAATAACAGTATATGGATTAATATATTAAAACTAAAAAATAAAAATATATATAATATATATATTATATAAAATATAGTAATTATATAATATATTATACTAATCCAATATATATATTATACAAATATATTATACATACTATAAATAATATACTAACTGACACACACACACACCACAACCAAACCCACACTACACACACAACACACACACACACACACACACACACATAACACAACTACACACACCACACAACACCTACCACACACTACAACACACACACAACACACAACAAACAAAATATATATATATATACCTATCCACAAAATCGACCCTACTATATATATACTATATATTAATATAATCTACCTAAAATAACATAATATATATAAACTATTAATATATAAGTCCTACTAAACTAAATTACATCATATACTATAATCTTATATATACCTCTACCCTCATCATATAAAACCACTATACAACCATATAGTCCAAATACATAGCAATATTATTAATCCACATAAATAATAAATGATATATCGATGTGTAGTGTGTACATCAGCCGCTCCTCCATAAATATACCACATTTATATATATATATATATATATATAATCATATATATACATATATATTAAACTGCAACATAACTATAATAATATATATATATATGATTGAGTAGTGTGTAGTGTGTGTGGTGTGAGGCTGTGTGATAGTGATGTGTGTGGTTGAGTGCTCTCTCACAATAACAAATAATAACTTATATAATAACTCCTCTATAAAAAATATAACTAATTATCCTATATAATATCAAACATCAACCCTAAATATTGCAATAATATTATATAATAAACCGTCATACAAAACAATAGGCAATAGCTATAAATATAAACGTACCTACCCCATCAAATAAAAAACCACAACACATCCAATAACCCAATAACCACATAACACACCACATCATAAAACACAACACACACAACACAAACAAACACATCACCACAACACATCACATCAACACACACAACAAACCACATCACCCCACACACTTAAATCAAACTAACACACACACAACACACACACACACACACACACACCACACACACAGACACACACACCACATATAATATTATTATATATATATTACATATATACACATATCATAACATAAATATATATTATATAATATATAAATATATATATATAATATTATATTATATATTATATTAATATAAATATATATATGTATGTATGTGTGTGGGTGTGTTATATGTATATATACACATTTAATATATATATATAATATATATTTATAAAAATATATATATATATATATATATATATATATGTGTGGTGTGTGTGTGTGTGTGTGTGTGCTGTGTGTGTGTGTGTGTGTGTGTGTGTGTGTGTGTGTGTGTGTGTGGGTGTGTGTGTGTGTGTGTGTGTGTGTATGTGTGTGTGTATGTATGTATATATGTATATATATATAATATATATATATATATATATATATATATATATATATATATATATATATATATATATATATATATATCTCTCTCTCTCTCTCTCTCTCTCTCTCTCTCTCCTCTCTCTCTCTCTCTCTCTCTCTCTCTCTCTCTCTCTCTCTCTCTCTCTCTCTATATTATATATATATATATATATATATATATATATATATATATATATTATATATTACACACACACACACACACACACACACACACACACACACACACACACACACACACACACACACACACACACACACACAACACACACACACACACACACACACACACACACACACACAACACACACACACACACACACAACACACACACACACACACACACACACACACACACACACACACACACACATATATATTATATATATTATATATATATATATATATATATACATATGTATGTATATATATATATATATATATATATATATATATATGTATATATATATATATATATATATATATTATATATATATATATATATAATATATATATATATATATATATATATATATATATATATATATATATATATATATATATATATATATATATATGTATGTATATATATGTATATATTTATATTTATATTTATATGATAATAACGACAATTAAATAAATTACGTAACAAAAATAACGGCAAAACACTAACAATGACAAGAATTATAAATTTACTGCTACTAATGATCATAATAGTAATGATAATGATAGAAATTACGCCAGTAATAATCATCAATATCACTATCATCATAATAACCATAACAATAATAATGCATTAAATGCAATCATGATAATAATGATAAAACATTAACAACAACAATAGTGACAAGTATCAATAATAATGATAATAATTATTATACTGTTTATGACAATGGTGATGATAATGATAATGATAATGATGATAATAATGATTGTGATAACAATAATGATAATATTTATGATAATGATACCAACAAATTATAATACCAATACTACTACTACTATAGTAATAATAATAATGATAATAATAATCATATTGATAACCATAATAATAATAATAATGATAATGATAATAATGATAATAGTGATAATAATGATAATAATGATAATAATGATAATAATAATAATAATAATAATAATAATAATAATAATGATAACAACAACAACAATAATAATAATAATAATAATAATAATAATAATAATAATAATAATAATAATAATAATAATAATAATGATAATAATAATAATAATAATAATAATACCAATAAGTGATAATAACAATGATAATAAAAATATTGATATCAGAAATAATAATGATGATGATATTTATAACAATGGTATATAATAACATTTATAATAAACTGATGATTATAATTGGAATAATGATGATACTGATAATAACAACATCAACAACAACAACAACAACAAGGATGATAATGATGATGATAATGAATATGATAATAATGAAGATAATAATGATAATAACAATAATGATGATGATGATAATGATAATAGTAGTAATAATGATGACAATGAAATGTATTACGATGAAAATATCAATAATGATGATAATGATAGTGACGATAATGATAATGATGATAGTACTGATGATAATAATTTTTATGAGAACGATAATGATGATTACGATGCCAATAGTAACAGTAGTGATAAAAATGATGAAAATAGTAATGATCATAAAAATGAAAATAGCAATTTTAAAAATTATAGTAATAATGATTTCGATTATCATGATGATAATAGTGATGATGATATTAACAACAATATTAATGATATTGATAAATATAGCAATAATGATAATGGTAATGATAACAATAATGATAATGATAATAATAATGATAACAATAATGATAATGATTAAGATATAAAATAACAATAACAATGACGTTAATAATAATAATAATAATAATAATGATAATCACAATAAAGATCACAACAATAGCACCAATAAAAACAACGAAAACAACAACAACAATAACAAAACAACAATAACAACCCATCAACAACAGCAACAAGAGCAACTTACCTGCCAGGGGCTAGTGAGACTTTTGCGAACTTTGATCACGAAGTCCGTAATTGGAGAAAGACTCTCCGTGCCCCAGGTGAGCGTGTATCTGTGACTCTCCTCTCCGTTCGGACTGCTGGTGAACATGGGGGGCATGGGGAGACCTGGGGGGGAGGGAGAGGACCTGTAGGACTGACCTGGTGGGCCGTGATGTGGGGAATGCACGACGAACAGATTGCAACAGGAACGACGACGGGGAAGGACAAGAGAACACGCGAATATAGCGAAGGACAAGAGAACACGCGAATATAGCGGAGGGCAAGAGAATACACGAATATAGCGAAGGGCAAGAGAATACACGAATATAGCGAAGGGCAAGAGAATACACGAATATAGCGAAGGGCAAGAGAACATACGAATGTAGCGAAGGACAAGAGAACACACGAATGTAGCGGAGGGCAAGAGAACACACGAATATAGCGAAAGACAAGAGAACACACGAATTTAGCGAAGGACAAGAGAACACACGAATATAGCGAAGGACAAGAGAACACGCGAATATAGAACACACGAAGGACAAGAGAACACACGAATATAGCGAAGGACAAGAGAACACGCGAATATAGCAAAGGACAAGAGAACACACGAATATAGCGAAGGACAAGAGAACACGCGAATATAGCGAAGGACAAGAGAACACACGAATATAGCGAAGGACAAGAGAACACACGAATATAGCGAAGGACAAGAGAACACGCGAATATAAAGGACAAGAGCGAAATAGCGAAGGACAAGAGAACACGCGAATATAGCGAAGGACAAGAGAACACACGAATATAGCGAAGGACAAGAGAACACACGAACATAGTGAAGGACAAGAGAACACGCGAATATAGCGAAGGACAAGAGAACACGCGAATATAGCGGAGGGCAAGAGAACACGCGAATATAGCGAAGGACAAGAGAACACGCGAATATAGCGAAGGACAAGAGAACACACGAATATAGCGGAGGGCAAGAGAACACACGAATATAGCGAAGGACAAGAGAACACACGAATATAGCGGAGGGCAAGAGAACACACGAATATAGCGAAGGACAAGAGAACACACGAATATAGCGGAGGCAAGAGAACACGCGAATATGCGAAGGACACACAGCGAACACGAATATAGAAGGACAAGAGAACACACGAATATAGCGGAGGGCAAGAGAACACGCGAATATAGCGAAGGACAAGAGAACACACGAATATAGCGGAGGACAAGAGAACACACGAATATAGCGAAGGCAGAGAACACACGAATATAGCGGAGGGCAAGAGAACACACGAATATAGCGAAGGACAAGAGAACACACGAATATAGCGGAGGACAAGAGAACACGCGAATATAGCGAAGGACAAGAGAATACACGAATGTAGCGAAGGACAAGAGAACACGCGAATATAGCGAAGGACAAGAGAACACACGAATATAGCGAAGGACAAGAGAACACGCGAATATAGCGAAGGACAAGAGAACACGCGAATATAGCGAAGGACAAGAGAACACACGAACATAGCGGAGGGGAAGAGAACACACGAATATAGCGAAGGACAAGAGAACACACGAACATAGCGGAGGGCAAGAGAACACACGAATATAGCGAAGGACAAGAGAACACGCGAATATAGCGAAGGACAAGAGAACACGCGAATATAGCGAGGACACGCGAATATAGCGAAGGACAAGAGAACACGCGAATATAGCGAAGGACAGAGAACACACGAATATAGCGAAGGACAAGAGACACACGAATATAGCGAAGGACAAGAGAACACGCGAATATAGCGAAGGACAAGAGAACACGCGAATATAGCGAAGGACAAGAGAACACACGAATATAGCGGAGGGCAAGAGAACACGCGAATATAGCGAAGGACAAGAGAACACACGAATATAGCGGAGGACAAGAGAACACACAAATATAGCGAAGGACAAGAGAACACACGAATATAGCGGAGGGCAAGAGAACACACGAATATAGCGAAGGACAAGAGAACACACGAATATAGCGGAGGACAAGAGAACATACGAGTATAGCGAAGGACAAGAGAACACACGAATATAGCGAAGGACAAGAGAACACGCGAATATAGCGAAGGACAAGAGCGAATATAAGCGAAGGACAAGAGAACACACGAATATAGCGAAGGACAAGAGAACACACGAATATAGCGAAGGACAAGAGAACACATGAATATAGCGAAGGACAAGAGAACACACGAATATAGCGAAGGACAGAGATGAATATAGCGAAGGACAAGAGAACACGCGAATATAGCGAAGGACGAAGAGAATACACGAATATACACGAAGGACAAGAGAATCGAATATAGCGAGGACAAGAGAACACATGAATATAGCGAAGGACAAGAGACGAATATAGCGAAGGACAAGAGAACACATGAATATAGCGAAGGACAAGAGAACACACGAATATAGCGAAGGACAAGAGAACACACGAATATAGCGAAGGACAAGAGAACACACGAATATAGCGAAGGACAAGAGAACACGCGAATATAGACGACAACGAATATAGACCGAATATAGCGAAGGACAAGAGAACACACGAATATAGCGAAGGACAAGAGACATAGCGAAGGACACACACGAATATAGCGAAGGACAGAACACACGAATATAGCGAAACGGGAAAGAGAACACACGAATATAGCGAAGGACAAGAGAAACACACGAGCGAAGGACACACATGAATATAGCGAAGGACAAGAGAACACACGATAGCGAAGGACAGAGAACACGAATATAGCGAAGGACACATATGAAGAGAGAACACACGAATATAGCGAAGGACAAGAGAACACACGAATATAGCGAAGGCCTTTCGAAGCAATAGCGAAAAGGCCTTCGGCATATT